GCCCAGCCCCCGGTTCTAGAACAAAAGAGCCCGCGGCAGCCAGGTCCCCTGGCCCGGAGGGCGCCCAGGGGAGGCGCGCCCGCAACGCCGTGGGGTCCTGGGGTCCTGCCCGGGGCGCCTGGCCGGGTGGGTCCCCTCGGAGATCCCGAGCGCCGCGGGCCGCCGACCTCGCAAACCCACGGCGCTGGAGGAACTAGGAGGGGCGGGGGTCGGTCCTCGGGCCCCTCCTGGCGCCTCCGCGCAGCGTGGAGTCTTTCACCCCGCGGCGGCCCGGGGGCAGGAGGAGCCGGGCCTGTTTCGGGGCCAGGGCGGGAAGGGTGGCCCAGTCGCTAGGGAGAGGTGGTTCTGGAAGGACCGAGCTGGCCCCCGGCTGACCGCGGCGCTGTCCACCGCATGGGCGGCACCTGTGCGCCGAGGCTGAGCGCGGGCCTGGTGGAGCCCCCCGCTGAAGGTCAGGCCGCCCTTGCCGGCCCGCGCGCTGAGCTCGGCGACCCCCCCCCCACGTCCCTCGCGCTGGCGGCCGAGGACTCTTAATTGAAGTGTAACACGCAGAGAGGGGCGCGAGTCCCCAGTGCACAGGCAGGGCACTTTGGACGCGTGGCCCCTTAGGAGGCACTGCCGGATGCCCAAGGCTCCTGCGGTTGTGCACACTGCTCGGGGCCAGACGCCCACAGGTTGCAGATGCAGGTTTGTGTCTCTGACGTTTGCTAATCTGGAACTTGCTAAGTGCACTGTGGACCCAGGGTGGGGCTGTCCTTGTGCGTGGGTGTTGGTTCCTCACTGAGCAGGGTCCCCCCCCCACCTAAGCCCCTGCTCCCTGAGTCTGACAGGAAGGCGGTTTCCAGTTGTCAAAGTTGGCAAAGACTGAAGCTGTAACGGCGGGGGGTGGGGTGGGGGTGGGTCCCGGGTTTGAGTGGAGCGGGTTTTCTGGTCAGATTGGGGTTCCAGTCGCCAGTGCCTGGCTAGGGATCTGGGGTCTGCGTCAGTTCTGACACACACAGCCCCCATTCAGCATGGAAACCCTACATCCCATCTCTGGTCCCCCTTCATCCTGTGGAATGAGGCCCTGGCCCCGGGGGTTTAGCTGGAGAATTTCCCGGTGGGCCCCAGGACTCAGGCGAGGGGGCTTCCAGGGAGTTCCCTGCCCCCTCCCTGCAGCAGGGAGCCAGGCTGCGGTTGGGGCAGCAGTGAGTGGACAGACTGGAGCTTGTGGGGGAGGGCTGGCCCCGGGGAATGTTGGCGCCAGCGTGAGCTGGCCCTGAGCCTCTGACGCTGACACACTCTTCTGGGGCTGCCCTCTCCCCCGAGCTAGTCATTAAACACCCTGCTTGCAGCCTCTGCGGGGGAAGCAGTCCGCTGGGAATCCAGGCCCTGGATGCTCTGCAGGTCGGAAATGGAAACCCAGTCCCTGGCCCTCGAGCCTGGCTTTCCTGACGAGGAGCTTCCGTCCTCTGCAGGGTCTCAGTGGCCTGTGTGCGTGGAAGCAGCCCACTGCTTTCTGGGGGCTGAAGGCGGCTGTGAGAGAGGGGTGGGGGGAGACCCGCCTTCCCCACGTTTAGGACCAGCTCCTCTGGCAGGTGCTTGCCGTGGGAGGAGAAGTGCCCTCTGCACTCCCATCCCACATCACCTTCCACTCCGTGAGCCCTGTTCCTCCCATCATTGCTAAGACCCTGACTGGACCCCTTTAGAGAACCCAGTCATGGTGAGGGTCAGCTGCAAGGGCCCATAGCTGCAGGAGGGATCTAGAGGACGGCGTAGAACTGCCCCATAGGGTTCCCAAGGCTGTAATTCTTTATGAACACAAACTGCCTGTCTCATCTTTCTCCCGTGGAGCCACTGGTGGGCTCTAACCGCTGACCTTTTGGTAAGCAGCCAAATGTTTTAACCACTGCGCCACCAGAGGCCCCTCTCCTTGGAGAAGAGACAGGACCAGGCCGAATTCCTCAGCATAAGTAGAGGTTCAGATTCTACTTATCGTCAATCTGTGGCCCACATCAGCTGACAGGCTCACTGTTTGTTGGAACCCAGGGTGGATGGTTGGCCCCTAGCTCCATGGCTTTCACATTTTACAAGTTGTTCTGAAGACGGCTCAGGGTGGAGCAAGCCAGATAAGTGATAAGTCAGGTGGATCCTGATCCTCTGATAGGAAGGGAGGTTTATGACCCTGTCTGCTCATGTCTGACAGCTGAGAGTGTGTTTCTAGGTGTTTCCAAGCAATTAAATGGGTGGTTCTGCAGTTCTCTCTGGTGTCCTGATTTGTGTTAGTCAGTGGTCATAAAGGTGGACCATGGACTTTTCACACTGTCAGCGGGCAGCTTGGCAGGTACAGACACACCTGGGCCACCTCACCTGCAAGGTACAGAAAGGAGCGCGGCCCCAGTCAGCACAGCCTTTTGGTCTCACCTTGCTCTTCAGCTCTTCCTGACGTTAGTGACTGCACTGTGTTTTCGTCCCAGGGCCCCTGCGCGTGAGCCGAGGTGCGGTGTGCATGGGGTGGCCTTTTCTGGCCCCTCTGGCCCATCCAGAGTGAGATCTCTCTTTGCTCCCGTGAGGCCCCATGCTGACTTGGGACTTCTCCCCTTTTCCAGCAAGGTTCTCCATAGTGTACCTGCCTGGAGAGTGACCTGTGGTAACTCTTCCTGAAGGAGCTATCTGTTCGGTTGAATTAATCCAGGACCAAGACCCTCTTCCCCTTCTTGCTGGGTGGGGGGGCGGGCAGTCAGAGTTGTAGCTTTGTCGGCAGCTTTGCATTTGTTACCCCAGGAGGTGGCTCTTTGAGCATTTCCCAGCTTGCATGGTTTGCCTAGTTTTCCTGCATTTTGTGTGGAAATTGTGAAATGCCACTGTTAGTGGCTACTAGAGCTGTGGTAGTTTTTGCAACTGTACAGGTTGGCGTGAATGGACGTTTGCTCAGGTTTGCTCTGGAGGCTCAGAGGTGAGAGGGCTGGGGTCTCAATACCTGGGAAGAACCTCTTTCAGGAGCCAGCAGGTGGAGGTTTGTCCAGGCAGGGTCTTGCACGTGACACACCGCTTATGTTGTGGGAGGATTCCCATGGGGAGGGCCTGGGTGGGTTCCTGCTGGTCTCCTTGTTTTAAATAAATAGGAAAGAAGAGGCAGAGACGGGCCCGGCCAACAGCAGGCCCTGGGTAGGGACTCAGACCCCCCTCTAGGTAAAGCATTAAGTGACGGGCACCTGTATGTCTACCTTCATTTTGTTCCCAGTCCTCTTTTGGTCAAGTGGCTTCTGACAAAATCAAGCCAGGTGTGTTGTACTATGTGTGCTGGCCAGGGATGATGGCCCCCCAGACTCAGGTTCCTGTCCCCCTTGGCCTCCTGTCCCTGTGAGATCTGGCTGGAGAGTGGGCCTCCCCGTTTCCCCACTCTGTGTCCAGAATGAAGGGGAGGCATGCAGAGGTGTCCAGAACATCGGGCATGGGCTCCTTAACTCCCTCAGCCCTTGGGACCCCCTGATTTATGTTTGAGAATTGAGGATTGGTGTTTGGGCACCAGGCAGTGTCCACATGCCCACTGGTACTGGAAATAGAAGAGGAGGGATGCTGTGCATGTTTGTTGTGGCTGCACAGGGGCAGAGCTGATTGTAGTTACTCACCATTTCGTCTAATTTTCGTGCAGCATGACAGTTGTGCCCATCCCCATACATGTGTCAGATGAGCTTGTGTGAGTTTTCTTTGACTGTAATTTGTTAAGTCTGTCCTGTGTTTGCAGCCCTGGCAGCCTGAAGTGGGGCTGGCTGATTCTGACCCAGGACACTGGGGGCGGGGTGGGAAGCAGGGCCAGAAGGGGTTCACCTCTGACACCTCCCTCTGCTATGGCTCATAGGATGACTGCAGCCGTCAGATGACAAGTGAGGCTTTGCGGGGCCAGAGTGTGAGTCAACCAGCACTAAATGTGAACCATGTGCTGTGTGCTCTCGGCTGGTCAGAAGGGGTTTCTGCTAACTCGCTCAGGCAGGGGCTCTGAATACGGCATTGTTTATTCCACCTAAAAATCCAAGGAATGCGGGTAGACCTGTCTGAGATCTGATCAGAACCAAATTTCATGTAATAAAACACTGAGGAGTCTGAGTCCCTGGTGGAGTTCCAAGGCCACTCAGTGGCCGTGATGTAACCGTTAGCCACAGGTGACATTCGCATTAACATTCTGAGAGGAAAAAACTTCAGCCTTCTTGGTAGTTTTGATTTCTGGAGGAGAAAACATAACTGATTTTACCAAGGACTTGTCTCCCCAAGAGCACAGCATGCTCAGCTTTTTCCTGTTTGGCATTTATTAGGTGGAAGTCAGCTTGCTCCTTTCAGTGCTGCTGTCTGTCACCCAGGTGGGCTGCTGCCTGCCTTTCTCAGGATCCCTCCGCCTCTTCTTTTCTGCACTCAGGCACGTGTACGTTTGGTGTGCGTCTCCTCCCCTGTAGAGGATGCCACCTACCTTTTTAATGCATCTGCTTTGATGGTTGTTGTTGTTTGCCGTCGAGTCGGCCCCGACTCATAGCGACCCCTCCTTGGATTTCCGAGGCAGTATCACTACAGAAGTAGGATTGCCCAACCTTCCTTCCGAGGAGTGGCTGGTGGGTTTGAACTGCCAGCCTTCTGGTGAGCAGTCAAGTGCCTTAGCCACTATGCTTTGATGGTATTGGGGTTTATTTTTAAAGATATTCTTGACGATGCAGGGTCCTTAGGCTTGGGAATGAATGAAAAGCGGTCAGATCACCATCTTAAGGAAAATGCAGACACGCCTCATAGTGGGGGCAAAAGAGAAACTCTGCACAGTAACTCCCACTCCCAGAACTGATTGGTGTGTGAGCCACATTCTGGGTGGAGCAGGTTGCTGTTTATGGTTCGTGCGTGGGTTCCCGTCAAGTCCTGTGGGCTCGTGCTGGCTTCTCCTTTATTGAGTATCTGCCAGCATCCAGTCTTCACTTCTTGTCTGCACCACACCCACTACCTCCAGCTGTTGTGATTCAGGGAAACCCAAAGGGTTCTGAGTTTCCAGGTTCCAAAGATGCAGGTGCTGGAGTCTGAGGACAGAAGAGCCCCCAAGACCTCTCAGAGAGCGGCCCCTCTCACATCAGTGAGGTGTCTGTATGGACACCCCTCTCCCCATGACCCCGCTGACATGGGCTGTGGGACTGGGCTGGCTCTGGCCTGTGCTTGGTGAGGGGTATGGGGGGCTCGCTAGGGCAGGAGGACAGGGGCTGATGGCTGTACTCTCCCCTCCCCACAGTGGGCTGACGCACGAGGCGCACAGGAAGGAGGTGGAGCAGGTGTATCTGCGCTGTTCCACGGGCGTCGTGGAGTGGATGTACCCAACCGGGGCCCTCATTGTCAACGTCCGGCCCAACACCTTTGCACCTGCCAGACACCTGACCGTGTGCATCAAGCCGATCCCAGGCTCCTCGGGGGCCAACGTGTACCTGGAGAAGATGGGTGTGCTGCGGCTCCTGGTGCGGGATGGTGAGCATGGTCCCCGCCGGGTGCGCTGCTTTGGCCTGGACCAGGGTGGCCTCTTTGTGGAGGCCTCACCGCAGCAGGATATCGGCCGCAGGACCACGGGCTTCCAGTACGAGCTGGTGCATCGGCGCTCGGGTTCTGACCTGCTTCAGCTCTCTGGTGCGTGGAGCTAGGGTGTGGTGGGGCACACCAGAACCTGGGGACATGCCAGGGCATCAGGGGTATACTAGAGTGTGGGGACACACCGGAGCATGGGGACACACCGGGGTTTCAGGGGCCTATGAGAGTGTGGAGACATGCCCAGGCATCGGGGCATGCCAGGGTATCAGGGGGCACACGAGAGTGTGGGGATGCTAAGGCATTGGGGGCACATCCGGGAACGGGGACACACCCAAGGTATCAGAAGGTCTACCAGAATGGGGGACATGCCAGGGCATTAGGGCATGCCGGGGTGTCGGGCACACCAAAGTGTGGGGACATGCCAGAGCATGGGGATACTCTGGGGTGTCAGGGGCTTACCAGAGCTTGGGTACATACCCAGACATTGGGGCAAACCGGGGTGTCAGGGGCATACCAGAATATGGGGACAGTGGGGCATTGGGGGCATATCAAAGCGTGGGGACACACCGAGTATTGGGGCACACTGGTGTGTTAGGGGGCCTACCAGAGCGTGGGGACATACCAGGGCATTGGGGCACACTGGGGTATCGGGCATACCAGAGTGTGGGGAAATGCTGGGGCATAGGGGCATGCTGGGGTGTTGGGGCACATTAGAGTGTGGGGACATGCCCAGGGTGTCAGGGCACACACCAGAGTGTGGGGACACCAGGATGTCAGGGCATGCCAGGGTATCGGGCCTAACAGAGCATGGGGACATACCAGGGTATTGAGGCATGCTGGGGTGTCAGGGGCACACTAGAGCATGGGGATACGCTGGGATGTCAGGGATACACTGGGATGTCACAAGAGCATTGGGGTACATCAGAGCATGGGGACACACCAGGGCATTGGGGCATGCCAGGGTATCAGGGCACACAGAGTGTTGGGTACACCAGAGTGTGGGGACATACCAGGGCATCAGGGCCATACCAGGTTTTGGGGCACACAGAGCATTGGAGTACACCAGAGTGTGGGGACACACCAGAGCATCAGGGGCATGCCAGGTGTCAGGCACACCAGGGGCACACTGGCCTATGGGGGACACGCTGTGCTTGGCCTCCTAGTGGCTCTGTAGTGTCGTCCCCTCTCACGAGGTGACACGTGTCTCCTTCCTAACCTCAGTGCAGCCCCTGGAAAGTGCCTGCCCAGCCAGTTTTGGACCTGCTGGGCTTGCCTGGGAGCCTTGGGAGCTGAGGTCCCTGTTGGGAAACCCATCCAGCCTGAAGACATTTGTGGCTTGGATGAGGGTTGAGCATGTCACTGCAGGGCCCTTGGGGGTGAAACTGACAGGGCAGTGCAGTGGGGAAAGGTGGCTGTGGTAGGGAGACCCTGCCTTGTGGTTGGAGAAAAGACACCCAAACTATACTCTGGGTCAGTGTGGCTGCTCGGAGGATGCTGGAGGGAGTTAGGAAGGGGTCTACTATAGAGAGAAAGTGGGGGAGGGAGCCTGAGGGCCCAGGTGGGAGGCCTGGGACCAGCAAGAACATCCACTCCCTGGATGAGTCCAGATCCTGATGCAGGCAGGTCTGAGGAATGAGTCCTTCCTGCCCACCCATCCCTGTGCTAGGGGGGTCCTGCCTTCTGCAGAGCCTCAGGATGGCTACACGGTATACCTAGCCCTGTATCCTGGCCAAGTTTGGGGCATGCCCTGCCCTCTTTGCCCCATCACAGGTGTGTGGGGCCCACATCCTGGGACTCACAGCCCTGCCCCTTGACGTGGAAGGGTTCTGGGAAGCTGGAATTCAGGAGCCGGTAGTGTGGATGGCTGGTACCTGTAGGAACCCACACACACAGCCTGTGCTGTTCTGGAGACAGCCATATTCTTTCTTTCCTCCTGAGGGTCCCTTAGCCCGGCTTCTGTAGCCCCAGAGGTGACAGCAGCACTGAGAGCCATGTGTGGCCACCTGCATGCTTCAGTCACCAGGCTCCACCTTGGCCGTGCTGGACCCAGCCCTTGTCCCTCACTACTTGGGGTCATCGTAGGGCCCCGGGGCACATCTGAAAATGGAACCTGGAGGCTCAGAACCCTTTGGGTTTCCCTGAATCACAACAGCTGGAGGTGGTGGGTGTGGTGGAAACAAGAAGTGAGGGCTGGATGCTGGATGCTGAAAATGGGGGTCTAGATAGGGCATTGGCTAAGTCCCTTTCATCTCTCATTCCTTAAAGTCTGTGATTCTAAGTCCTTTCTCTCTCTGGACATCTGGCGAGTCAGTCATTTCCACCCTTGGTCCAGCCTGGCCTACACAGACCTGGTCTGTCTTGCAACTGTAGTCCTTGCAGCTCCTGACCCCCTGGGCCCCCTGCCACCCCTCCCAGGCCTGGACAAGCAGAGCTCCTATTGCTGGTTCCTCCTGGGGGCCCTGGGTAGGATGTATTTGGTGGTCTAGGTTTCGGGGGAGGGCGCTATGGAGGCCAGGCTGGAACTCAGTGCCCAACATGCAAGGGATCCCCCAAGAAAGAGCTTTGAGGCCCCAGCATATGTGGTACTGAGGGGGGACCTGGCTGGGGCTGCACCAGACCCGGTGGACCCTAAAATTCCCAGCCTTTGGGTATTTTCGACCCATTGGAATGTACAATCACACCCAAACCTAGTGCTGTCAGGTAACTCATGGCGACCTTCCTCGTAGCGTTTTGATCGGCCTGGAGGACACTTGGCTCTGGTGTTCCCTGTGGTCTGAGGGTCACTGTACTTGCCCTGTGTGATTTTTGTAAGATTCTAGATGATAGGATCATGCTGCGGCCTGACAGAACATTCCCTGATGTCACTTCTCACTGGATGCTTGCATTTGCATAGACCAGAGTTTCTGATGGAAAATCAGTTTCTGATGGAAACCTGTTAGGTGTCTCTTAGGTGTCTGCCCTAAGCCTCAGGTGACCAGAGCCCAGGGCCTGAGCCCTTCCCACTTTGGGGCCCTTGGCCCTGTGGTGATCACTCCACTTGTGCTGTCCAGTGGCCGGCATTGTGTGGGGTGGCACAGACTAGAATGGCCATTAGAACCTGGCCTGGGTGGCCCCAAGCTCTGCATGGGGCCGATGGATAGAGTAGGGCAGGAGGCCCTTGGGGGGGGGCATATGACCCCTCTGGAGATTGCCTTTCAACAGGGATGGGGCCCTAAGCCTTTAATGCCAAAGGAATGGGTGCATAATTGTGGAATGCCGCCCGGTTGTCTTGCAGCCAGCATTGCCACCACTGCTGCACGGGTGTAGGCTCTGCACTCTGTTGGCCAGCGCAGTTACTGCTGGAGAGCTGGTCACCTCCATCTGGGCCTTGAACCCGGATCGGTCTGGGGTCTGAGCAGAAGCTCCACCTCCCTGGTGAACTGAAGGCTTCCGTGAGGGCTGACCTGGAAGGGACTGCAGTGGGAGTGGTGCTGATCCATGTCTTTCCCTGGGGGGCGTTTCTAGTGTGATGGCAGTGGCCCACGGGCCACGTGATTGGTATCCCCATTACAGACAGAAAGCAGGCAGATGGGACCTCCCTCCTCACTGCCTCCTCCTTGTGGCCTTGAGCAACACAGCCCACACCCTCAATTTGTGCTTTAAAAACCTGGCAGGGACGAAAGACGGGTGAGCCAGCAATTAACTAGTGGAAGAAGTACCCGCCCAGGACTCCAGGGAGGTCAGGGTGGAGGTTGGGGTGTTGCAGGACGTGGGGGAAGTCAAGGTGGAAGTTGGGGCATTGTAAGACGTGGGCATGAGATACGTGGTAGAAGCAATTGGGGCTGGGGGACATGGAACAGCCTAGTAAAGGGAGCCTAGTTCTGAGTCCACACTGGGATCCATCTCTTCTCCTCCGGGGCCTGCCGTAGCAGGTGGCTCAGTTCCCATGGCTCTGTGCTTGGGGTCTGGCCTGGAGAGTGGAGCAGAGAGGCTGTCCGCAGCTGGAGGGGAAATTGGGCCCCCACGTGGCCAGGAGTGCAGAGTCGTAGATTCAGGGTTGTGTGAGGGACTCCATAAACCTTTTTAGTTTGCTGAGCCTGTGGCAGAGAGCGCCACCCCCCCACCTGCCACCACTGGGAGCTTGGGGTTGTCCTGGTGGAGATGGGCCCTGCAGCAAAGCCTCACACTGGAAAGCACTTCTCCTTATTCCTGGAAAGAGAAGAAGGGCACTTGGTTTTGAGGCACCCACATCCCCTTGGTGTCACTGCCTTCATCGAGGCTCCTCTCTGACCCCTCCTGACCTCATAGTTGCACCCCCTTTCCTTGCTGGGAGCATGGGGGGGGGGAGGCACTGAGGTGCAGGGGCCACTCTGCACGATACACGCCTGCACGTGGCATTTGAGCAAGGCTGGCAGTGACCGCGGTGCTTGGCCATCCTCGGGGATGGAGCGCCTCCTCTGGGCCTCACCTCCACTCACACCTGCCTGATCCCCACTCCACCCACTTCTCCTTCCTGGCCCTGTTAAGCTCGTGCCTCTACCGGCACCTGCCACATCTGAGTCCCAGCCCCTTCACTTTGGAGCATGTCCATGCCCCTGCCCCTCAGGTGCCTGCTGCCACCTGCGGACCAGCCTTCCTCTTGGGACCAAAAGTGTGTCCGAGGTGCGGCCTGGCAGGGTCCCCTTGTGCGTGCCTCCCTCCCGTCACAGCCCTGGCCACGGCAGAAGCCCTGATCTCTTCCTTCTTCGCTCTGTTCATTTCACGCACATTCCACAGTAATCTTCCTGACACCCACACCTCCCCTCCCCAGGAGCACCCCCACTCCCCCTGCCCGTCCTCCCCCTGTGAGGAAATGAAGCGTGCCGTGTCGCTGCCCCGAGAATTCCACAGCGTCAAGAGGCTTCAACTGGTGATTGTTTCCAGACGGCACCTCGCAGCCTGCAGATGGGCTTCCCATCAAGACCCCTCTTGTACAGGGTACAGCGCTTGGAGTTACCGGTGCAAAGCCGCCATGTGGTTTCTGTGGCTCCACTGCTGGTGGCTGTGCCACCAAGGACCCGGGAGGAGGGTCTCAGGTCATTGGTTGAGTACTTACTTGGGAGGTGGCTGGTGTCCACTCAGCTGTGCTGTCAGGGCAGTGCCTGGAGGTCCAGGACCTGAGATAATCTGAGATGTGGAGAGGCCAGTGGTGCCCGGGTTGTGTCCAGTCACACTGCTGTGTGTGGCCGTGCCGTGGGATGGGGGCAGCACAGCTGTACCAGCACCTTGTGTTGGAGCCTCCAGCCTCCAGCCTGATCGGCTGTGAAACCAGAGATCCTTCTGCCAAGCTGGCCCACGGCCTCCTCCCTCTGTGTAGCTGGATCCTGGGGCCCCAGTGCCCCCTTGAGCCAGGCTATGGTCATGTGGGCTTGGATGCTAGCCGGCCTTCTTATTGCTCTGGGGCATTAGCAAGCCCCCACCCACTTGAGGGACCACTACTCGACCTCTGACTGTGGAAGGTGGAGCCCACTGCTTCACACACTATTGGCCTCCTACTTGAACCTCTGCAATGTGTGCACTGGGCCGCCCAAGAGAGGGCTTGGAAGGGGCCCAGGTGGCCACTCTCTAAAAGGTGCAGGAGGGGCTGCAGCTCTGGGGTGATTACTCAGGAAGAAATGGCCACAGGTGGGCCACTGGCCCCTGACCCTGCCTGAGTCCCTGGGGGACCCAGTGGCCATCAACAGGTGTGGCGTTGGGGTCAGCAGCACCCAGAGAACTGCAGTATGAGTTTGTGGAGGTGAAATCCCTGTGTCAGTCCCCGCCCCCTCCCAACAGGAAGCGGGGAAGGGGTCCCAGGGCCCCTAGTAGGTTGGGGAGGCCCGGGGTCCAGGTTCATAAAAGGGCTTTCTGGGGTCTGGCTGTAGCCAGGGTTCCAGGCCTAGTCCCAGAAGGTTCTAGGTTTAGAGCTTAGGGTGGCGGGAGGAGGTCAACTTTAGCCTCCTGAGCTGGCTTGGTTTTAAAAGGAATCAAACAGGTTGTTCTTGTTCTGTGGCTTTTCCTGTTGGTGATAACCTGATAGATGGGGAGGAGGTGAGTCAGCAGCCTGGGGGGCGGTGCAGGTGTGCCCATGTTCAAGGTTTGATCTGGGTCCTGGGTCCTGGCCTTACCTGCCCTACATCCTCTTGAGCACCTGGCTGAGAGCCCAGCACTGTCCACCCCTGGGAGACACTGGTCCCATCTCTGCTGTTGGCCCCGGTGCCGGGTGGCTGATGTCCACACTCAGCCCCTGGGCCCCGAGCCCCTTCTGAGCCCTTGCCTGTCCGAAAGGCTCATCCCCCCTGGGACATGCCCACCCATCCTTGCTGCCCAGGTTGAAGGTTCAGGGCAACTCCATGTTGACCAGGACACAGTGCACCTAGAGGCAGGACCTTCAGATGTGAGAGGGCTGAGGAAGACTTGTCTCCAGATTTCACACGTCAGAGTTTTCCTTCAGGTTGACTGAATTCAGGCCAAACCTAGAAACTCCAAACAGGTGAGAGATGGAGGCTTTGGAATGTGGAATGTGAGAGGCAGACCATAGCACCATGTTTATGACCCAAGCCCTGCCCTACATAGAGGAATGGTGTCTGGGGAATGCCAGCTGAGGACAGGTGCAGGTGCAAGGCCTGGCTGGCATGGGAGGCCCTGTACACCTGGGAAGATGCCACGCTTTCTGGGTTTCCCTGGTTTTAGGGGTTTCAGAGACAGTTCAGTGAACAGGGCTTGGTTTGAAGAGGTTTTCGGAGGTGACCACCTCATCCAAGTCTGCTGGGTGTGGGGTCTGTGGCCAGGGGTAAGCTGACGGCACCCTGGAGTGACTGCTTCAAGTGGCAGTCGGTGGGTGTGCCCCTCCCTAGCTCCTGTGGGGACCCCACCAGGTAACTAACCCCCTTCTGGGGCTACAGCGCATGTGCCTTCTGGGCTTGGGAAGCCTGCAGTGGAGCAGGCAGCTGTGGGGGGCAGTCAGACATTCCCTCGAGCAGAGGGCTGGGTAGTCTGGGAGTGGGAGCGGTCTGATGTTCTGCAAACGGCCGACCCCAGTGAGACCCAGGCAAGGCTGCTGCTCGAGTGAGGCTGGTTTGAAGAGACACAGTTTGGAGTATAGCTTGAGAGGCTGTGTTGTAGAGCACAGTTTTTGCAACCGTGGCTGGGACTTGAGGGCAGTTTTCAGTGAGTGGGGACTGGTCTGGCATGGCTCCACTGCATGGTCACAGGGGGACGAGCATGAGTCCCCTTTCCCACACTGAGGTCCCAGGGCCTTCTGGGTGCTAGATCAGGGGCATCTTGGTCTGAGTCTGCAGTGGACTGCCTGAATTGAGGCCGTGCTAGTCATCCCTGCTGGGTCCCACCCTCTGGCATGTGCTCTTTGAAGTGTTATTAGAGAGTGCGTCCCGCGCACTGTCAGCCCTGAAGGGCCTCAGGTTTGTAAGCTGAGTCTGACCATAAATACGTGCAATAAAACAGTAGGCGGGCATCTGATGGCCAGGCTGGGGGAGGGATGGTGACCCACAGGCGCTGTGACCATGCCAGCAGCATTGTTCTGGCCCTCACTGGACCGGAAGCCATCCTTGTACAACCCCTTGCTCTTTGTCCAGCCTCCTCCTGACACTGTCTTTCCCTGCAGCCCCTTGCCGCCCCTGCAGTGACACTGAGGTCCTCCTGGCCGTCTGCACAAGTGACTTTGGTGAGTATTGGCCTCTGTGCTTCTTCCCCTTTGCTTGTATTTCCTGCATGTGGGTCACCCCTCTGGCCAGGGGCCTCTCCCTGGGTCCAGTCCAGTCTCCCTGCTCTGTGGGAAAGAGATGAGCCTTGCTGAAGCTCTGGGTCTGTTAGCCTTTGCCTCACCCACTACGCACTGCAGTGGAGGGAAGATGCTTTCCTTCTTGTGCATTGAAGGGATCTTCTGGCTCAGGGGAGAGGATTCTGTGCACATGCACGCATGCATGCATATGACGCACACGCACACACAGCATGTGCAGTGCATGCATGTACACATAAGTGCATGTACACATGGTCGTACATACATGCACATGTACAGTACATATGACCAGTGTGTGCATGCCATGCATGTGCACCCACACATACAGCACACACATGCAAAGCATACATGAATCATGCATGCATAGAGGGCACGTGTCTGTCGCATACATTCACACATGCACGCATGTATACTGTGCATATGTTCAGTGCATACATGCACACATGCAGGCAGACATAGAGTACACAAGTCCAGCGCATAATGCACCCACACACATGCGCACACATACAGCATACATGTCCACTTTATATGTGCACACATGCACATGTGTGTGCATGCATGCACTCACACACACATGCCTCAAAAATGTCACATGTGTGCATATATAGCACATGCAAAGTGCATTGATGCACAGGCATGCACATACATGAACATATGTGTGTGGTACACAGAGGCAGTGCGCCCATGCACACATACATACACACATGGCATACGTGCATACACATGCACACATATGTACAGTGCATGTGTGCAGTCTATGTATGTACACATGTACACATACATGTGCAGCATACATGCAATGCATACATGTCCACTCACACCACACACCTGTGATGTATACATGTACACATGTACACACGCATATACCACACAATACAATGCACACATGCATGTATGACATAGGTGTGATGCACACATGTACAAGCACATGTGCAAATGCACACATGGACATATGAAACATACGCCCATGCAATTGCACCCACTCAGCACATACACACACACACACACACACCAAAGAGAATGTCAGTAATTAAATATTTAAAGTGAGTATTAAACATTCCCATTTTGTAAGTGATGTAATCGCCCTTGGGGGAATCTTGGAATGCCAGGTTTTTGAAGGACTCCTCTGGGGAAGTGCTTTGTAAACATCCTCAGTGACTTGAGGGTCACTGGCCCTGTGGCAGCCCTGGTGGGGCTGTGGCCAAGGTCAGAGGGAGGTAGCCTCCCCTAGGTCAGAATGAGAATTCCCGGCCAGCACTTCCCATGCCACTGAGTCACTGTTGTATCCCCTCCCAGCTCCAAAGATGGTTGACAGTTGTATCAGAGTGGAGACCCTGAACTGCTCGGTGCTCTCCAGGGTCACAGGCTGCTGAGTAGCCCTCTCCCTACATAGCCTGAACCACTTTGTGGCCCTCCCTTACATGGCCCCTGCTATGGTTCCCCATGAGACCTAGCCCACATTGACCCCCCCATGCAATCCTCTCCCATGTGGTCCACCAACCTCCAAGCGGTCCTCCCACCCACATGGCCCCCCATGAGACCCTCCCCCACGTGCTCCACGCCACACGGCACACTACCCCATGCCTCTCTCCCCTGCTTCTGGCAGAGTCCCCTCTCCCCTGCATGCCTTCTTGCCTCTGTACCCCTCTGTGTCACCTTCCTCTCTGTTCTCTGCACGGGTGTTCAGAAGCCCGTGTATATTACATGTGGCTGCTCCCCTCGCTTAGCTTTGAGTGGCTGATGTGTAGCTTGGTCTCTGTGTTTTGCTGTCTCACCCATGTGGCTGCCGTGGTGGAAGAAACCTGTCTCAGTCTCTCGGTGTGGCAGGACAGCCTTGCATACCTCTGCGCTGTGTTAGTGTCACTTCTGGAGCAGGGCACATGTCATGCTCCGATATGTGGTGGTGGTGTTGTTTGCCGTCGAGTCGGACCCGACTCATAGCGCCCCCTCCTTGGGTTTCCGAGGCAGTATCATTACAGAAGTAGATTGCCCCATCTTCCTTCTGAGGAGTGGCTGGTGGATTTGAACCGCCCGCCTTCTGGTTAGCGGTCAAGTGCCGTAGCCACTATGCTACCAGAGCTCCTCCGATATGTGTTAGTACCAGGCAAATGTGCTGTGTGTCGGCTGACCCTTGGGCGGCAGCCGGGGGCTCGCTGACCAGCACTGTGTTCTTTCCCTGCAGTTGTCCGTGGCTCCATCCAGAACGTCACCAATGAGCTGGAGCTGCAGGAGTCAGCCATCCACCTGCATGTGAGCAGGCTGTACAGGCAGAAGAGCAAGGTCTTCCAGCCCAACCCTGATGGCAGTGGCCACTGGCTTGGCTGCATCAAGACCCTACTAGAGTGCGGTGTACGGCCTGGGCATGGAGACTTCCTCTTCACTGGCCAGATGCGTTTTGGGGAGGCCCGGCTTGGCTGTGCCCCTCGCTTCACGGACTTCCAGAGGATGTACCGGGATGCTGAGGAGAAGGGGCTGAACCCATGTGAGATCAGCATGGGGTGACTGCCACCCTGGCACCCTACCCAATGCCATACCACCAATGGCTGTGGTGGGCACTTGAGTCCTGGAGCAGCTGCCCACTGGAGATACTTGTGGGGATGCCTGCATCAGTACCCAATGGGGATACCCAATGGGGACGCCTGTAGGGACACCCAGCAGGGATCCCTGTAGGCACACTCAGTGGGGACACCTGTGGGGTGGCCCAGTAGGGATGCTGCAGGGATACCCAGCAGACACATCTGTGGGGACACTCAGTGGGAACACTTGTGAGGATGCCCAGCAGGGATGCCTGCAGGGACTCCCCAGGGGGCACAGGCCTAGCCCCAGCACCCATGCTGTGGAGGTACTCGCTGTGTCCATCCTCATGTGGTCCGGCTGAGGACGACATGACCGACTGGAAGTGTTGTAAATGCCGACTAAGTTATTATATTTTTTTAAGGAAGTGCACATAGGAAATATTCAGCATTGTGAAACTGCCTGCTGTGCCATTGCAGATTGCCTTATAAAACTCTGGGGTGCAGTACCTGGCCAGGCTTGTTCGGGGAATGCACCCCAGGTCGCCAGCCACAGCAGACACCCATACAAAGCCTGTGAGAAGCCCAGGGTCCACTCAAGGTGGTTTCTGTGACAGAAACATACGGAGCCAAATATGTATTTTTCTCTCGTTGTTTTTTCATTCTAAAGAACACTCTTTGCTGGCTGCGGTCATTTGGGCTGGGGTCATGCCATTCTAGAGAAATACAGGCCCTGACTTGACCAGGCTTGTGTGTGTGTCTCCTGGCCAGTGCTCTTCAGGTGTCCGAGGTTCTGGAGGAGTAAGTCTAGTGGGCGGAACCCCATGGAGCTCACACCCCTGCCCTGACCTCAGCCCCGCCCTGTTCCCCAAGTACAGGTGCAGCCTACCTGCCTCCACACCCAGAGGCAGCCCAGCCCAAGAGGGAGCCTTGACCAACACACTGCCCGATACCTGGTAGATCACTGCCTCCCTGCATCTCGTGGCTGTGCTTGGCTCCTGCCACCCACTTTCCATTAACCTAGGTCCTACTTTTGGCCCCAACTTCCCCCAGGACCTAAGCCCACAGCAGGGGCTGGTCTGGGGCCAGGCTTGGTGTCCCCACATCCTCAGGGGCCCCTGGGGTGTCAGATCCTCATCTGTGAAACATACTCCCCCATCTTGTGCAGCTGCTGAAGGCTGAAGGGGACTCAGGCCTGGCACTGTTGGTGAGCACCGGGCAGGGCTCAGGTGTGCGAGGCCCCGACATGTCACAGCAAGAAACAGGTGCTCATGAGCAGACAGCTGAAGCCACAGGCATGGGTGCAGGTGGGGCAGGTGCAGGTGGGGCAGGCACAGGTAGATGAACGAATCCTGTGTGGCCAAGGGGACGTGCACATGAGTAGTAGATGGGGCAGACGAACAATAAGGGAACCTGGAAACCCCTGTGGGTTGACACGGGTTTTGGGGGCCAGATGTGGCCAGGTTGAGTCTGATGTGGTAGAGAAGAGGTTGCCGAAAAGAATGCTGGGCTTAGGGGCTGGGTTTCCTTTAGGTCAATGTTCTTGGCCAGTGACAGTGATATCAGAGGGCTCTGTGAGTGTTAGCTCAAGGACCTTTGACCTCTGGGATGCAAGGGTATGGTGAGACTTTAGCTTCTGGGTGGGGGGCCTGCCAGGTAAGGTGGGGGGGGGGCCGTGGGGAGGGACAAGCAGGCTTTTGCATCAGGATGTCCCTGGGCCCTGTAGGTGGGTGTTGTAGGGGCAGGGAAGGGGCCCTGGTGTAGGTGGGCCCTGTGGGAAGGGTGAGTGGTATGAGGTCTCTGGGGCCATGATGCTGTGGCCTAGTCACACCCCAGTCTCTTTGGGAATTCTCTCCCTTGTCCTGACCGAGGGCAGTTGCTTGAGCCCCATGGCCCTTTTTGTCAGCTGGGACGGCTCTGCAGGGACAATGTGGTGCCTGAGGGAAGCTGGCTGCAGGGAGGCCTAGATCCTGGCACAGTGCCTGCCTGGAGCTGCCCGCCAGGTTCCCAGGCCTGGGGACGGCATCCCACAGGTGGGGGAAGGCCCTCCTCAGGGTGCAGCTGGCCCCAAGGCTCCATCCACTAACTGATTAAACCATTTAATTCGGGCATTCGAGGTGGGAGCGGTCCCGGCCGGCTGTCTACAGAGAGCTGGGCAGCTCTTGGCTATCACAGCAACTCTGGGCCCGTGTGGTGGGAACGCTGTGCTCATGGGTACAATTTAGTCACGTCCAGGGCTCCAGGCTGGGAGCCGTGTCCTACCCTGCAATTCTCACAGATGTGCTGTGGCCCCACGTGCCTCCCTGAGCTTGAGAGGACCCACGGGTGGTCCTGCTCCATGACGACAGGGTTTAAATGGGTTCTTCTGCTCTCTAATGCAGTCATTCATTCAGTGAGGGCCTTCTTCCTGTTGAAGAGCTCTGGTGGCACAGTGGGTCAGCCATGTGGCTGCTCACCAGAGGTCAGCGGTTCAAACCTACCAGCTGCTCCTTGGGAGGAAGATGAGGTAGTCTACTTCTGTAAAGATTTATAGCATTGGAAACCCAGTGGGGGTCGCTGTGAGTCGGATTTGATGGCAGTGGGTTCTGTTTTGTTTTTTCTTCCCACTAGCACTGCTGATGACAGGGAGGTGACAGTGGAGGCGGTCTGCAGGAGCTTATGTCCTCGATCATAAGCATGCCATTTTACCAAAAATAGGTAGGACAGCGGGGCCGGGTTTGAGGAGCGGCCTGCTGTGCAGGGTGTTGAGGCTATGAGCTAGTTAGGTTGCCAGGTGGGGTGGGGTGGGGGGTGCAGCAAAGTGTGGTGACCCAGTTGCACTGATTCATGACCCTCTACCCATGAGTTCAGGGTCTCCTCTGCTCCTGGGACCCTCTGTATGCTTCCTTCCTCGGCCCCTTCCAGGGCTGGGACCGGAGGGCTGGATTTCTCAGGAAGGCTGAGTCCTGGGCACAGTAAGAGTCCCAGTGCCTCAGGGTAGGGCCTGCAATTCTGTGCAGCACGAGGGGCACACTGGGCCCGTGCCCAGTGGGCGCTCTGGTTGTAAGAATGATTGAATCATGGAGAGGGAGGAGTTAGAGAGATGTGACGAAGACTTGGTGAGTGTAGGGCTGGGGTATAGGGCAGTGAGCTAGGTGGGCTGATGGAGATGCTGATGCCCTGGGAGACTGAACAGGGGGTGAGGGCAGGAGGACTAAGCAGTGGAGAGGAGGCCAGAGCTGGCAGCTTGGGAGCAGAGGCCCTGGAAGAGAGGCGGACAGGAGTGTGGGTTTGGGAGGGAGTGTCACCGGAGCCCAGGGTGGGGAGGGGGCAGAAAGGGGCCTGGGAGACCAAGGTCAAGCCGGGTGCTGGGCACAGAGTGGGGATGACTCTGGGCCCACAGAGGAAGGGCTATGATGGGCTGGGGATGTGGGCCTGGTGCTGGTGTGGGGGTACTCAGGGTGGAGCCGGAGACTCGGCATAAAGCCGGAGACTCCTCATGGAGCTGGGCATCCTGGGCAGGAAGTGGTCAAAGCTGCTTTCCTGCTGGTACAGCAGCATGTGTGGGTCCCTGGAGGGTGGCAGGGTCTACCAGGGACACTGGTGGTTGTCCCGTCCTTGCTGTGTCCACCAGCCTGGTGGGTATTTACACAAAAAGGATTGTTTGCATGGCCACGCCTGGAGCCGACATTGGAATAGCTGGGGGTTTTGGCATTTTGTTTTCAGAAGCATTTTGCTTACCAAGCCACATAGTTCCCTAGTCATGGATTTGATCACAGAGAAGATGAAAAAATGCTAACAAAACCCCCCAAAACAAAACAAAAACTCAAATCCTGAGGGCTCCGAGTGTGGGGAGAGTGGTGTGCTGGGGAGTGTGGGTTGGGGTAGACTGAGCAACACGGTCTGTATGCCAGAAAGGCAGGTCCACATCAAGGATGCTTTGTGTGTATGTGTGAGTGCATCTGTGTGCACACGTGCATCTGTGTGTGCAAGTATCGGTGGGGGGGGTTCTTCAGGGGATGGGGGCACAACTTCCGAGAGGCACAGGGAGAAGAGGGAGCACCACTCAGAGACCTGGCATGTCCCTATCATCAGGCTGTGGAGTACCCACTCCCCGGGCCCTCTCTCAGTGTTGGCTCTTCTGCAGAAGAGGGGGCTGACCCTCTTCTGGGGCTGACCGTGGTTTTGTGTGACAGGCACCCGAGGCTGGGGCCTGTGCAGGCTGGGAGTGTCCAGGCTGGGGCTTGGGGGGCTCTCCCGTGGCCCTGCCTCCTCCTGGCTGTGGGGTGCGGGAGCCCCCACCTCGCCTGCAAGGGCGCAGCACTGTCCGCACATCGGGCAGAGCCCCCTGCCTGTAGTGCTGGTGCTCTCACAGCCCAGGAATGCAGGAAGACGGGCTGGGGTCTGGCACCGAGGCGGAGGCTGGCAACTCACCAAGAATGTGCCTCGTCAGAGATAATTACGCGTTTGGGGAGTCTGCGTAATAAACGCGGCAATGCCACCGTCTGTTTATTTTGCTGAGAGCCAGGGCAACAAGGCTGCCACAGCTGGGAGAGCATCTGGGTCCCTCAGAGACAGAGATGCCGGCTGGTGCCTCTTACTTCCTGTCACTGTTCCCACCGGCTCTGGACGAGGAGGGGCATGTGTGGGGTGGGCATGCCCCAGAGTGCCCAGTGCAGCCCTGAGTGGAGGCCAGTGGGCATGGAGGACGGCCAGAGCTGCAGACACGTGGCTGAATGAGCCCCATTGTGTGGAGTGCCCAGAGGGCCACATGGAGCGGGTACAATTAGGGTACACGGCCACTTAATAACCTTTCCACTAGGAAAGCATTGCAGAAACACAGAGACACACCCAGGGAAGCAGCACGACCCCAGCCTCAGAGATGGTGGCTGCTCAGCATGTTTGCTGGAGAACTGGTTTCATTCCCAGGTCCATGTGTGTATCTCCATGTACGCGTCTCTGTATGTGGTGCGCACGGGTGTGCATGCACACGTGTGTGTGCATGGGTGT